TGTGATCTTAAACATGGAGGAACTTTGCGTTTTTCATTGGGGTGGGAGGACCCATGAACCCTGCCCATTCCACTTTCCGAGACGCATTCTTACGAATTCTGTTCACCCTCACTCTGCGATCATAATTTTGACTTAATCAAGAAAGTCCCTCAACTCCTGGTTTTTCGGTATCATAAGCTCAAATTGCCTTCGTTGAATTAGCGACCTCCGATATGTCAGGAGGTACTGGTTGAACGACATTGTAGAGCTTAACAGCTGGTATATTGACGTTACTCAATGTTTCAAGCTATTCTAATATAAAGAGCTCATCTCTTTAGCATAACACGAGATGGCAGATGAAACAATTGCACTTAAATAATGTTCTTCATAGCCGTGTTAGAGCTTCTGGAAATTAAGATACCATTTTGCATCCAGTTTTGGTTCAAAGACAGATCATTTACTGAAGAAGAACCAGCCACTATTCAGCTACAGTACCTGCCAGCCATAGTGGACACCGCACATGCCCACAAATGGTGCTAACTTCATTGAATGACGTGTGGGCAATGCTCTAGAAACTGCCTAAATTTCATCATCTCTTCTCCTTGTAATGAACCAATGCAGACAAGTATGTATCCTGAGGGTGGATGAGAGGAGACATGGGGCGATACCACCTTACCCTTTGGGATTCTTATGAGCCGCCCCTTCTGGCCAAACTAAAGCTTCATTTCGAAACCCCGTTAGCCTTTATTTCCAACAGGCACCAAATTCCAGGGACGCCCGTAAAGGGTCTCAAACTTCCATTTGCGGGAGGCACCAAATTCCAGGGGCACTGCTATACACGTATCTTGGACCGTTCGCCAAGATCCCGGCTCGGCTCTGTGGGAATAGGAGCACTAACAACTTTATTTTCGACATCATAACCTTTATTTTCAAGAGCGTCCAGTGCCAGCGGGTAACAAGAATAGGCGCAAACCCTCAAGAGACTCAACAATGTTATGCCCTCCACCCCGAACAAAATCCTGGAACAGTTCCGGAGGGAAACCGCACAAAAACCTTTACTCCCAGGCACCTGACCTTTATTTCAAGAGGGGTCTCTTTACTTTCCACCATGACGAAATTCCTCATTGGTCCGTTCTACAGCATTCGGCAAAAGTTCCGCCAACATATTCTTCAGTTGGGTAGTGCAGTGGGGGAGCGTTTTCCAGGGATACCAAATTCCAGGCGGCACCGCACAGGGTCCCAAAACGTTTACTTTTAAGGCAAAATAAATCAGGGAAGATTGCAATGTCCGTGAAGCTCCATTGACGAAATCATTGATCAGCCCATTTGGCGAAAGGACACCAATGCCTTCACTTCGCAGCACAAAATCATTTATTTACTAAAGGCATCAAGTCCAGGCAAACCATTGAAAGGGGTCCAAAATTTTAATTTTACGCGACACCACAATTTCTTTGCTTTTCATCCTGACCAAGTTCTGGATCGACCCTTTTTGCAGAGGCACCACAAAACATTTATTGCGGAACATCATTATTTAAGCAGGCAGCGAATTCCACGGGACACCACAATGGGTCCAAAAAACGCTTCTTTTCAAGAGAAAACAAAGTTTAGGGGGGACCACAATGCTTACACCTCCTCATGGCGGAAATGGAATGGGCCCATTCTGCCACAGATCACAAAAATGTTTTCGGGCACCAAAACCTTTATCTTTAGCAGGCACCAGATATAAACAGATCGTTTCAAGGATCTCATCATCTTCGCTTTAAAAGGGTACCAAAACCAGGGGTTACACAACTTCTGTGCCCTCGACCATGACCATATCCTAAGTCGGATTTTTCTTCGATTAAATATCCGAGGCTTGCATTTCGGGTATCACGACGCGTATTTTGAAGAGGCACCAACTGCTGGGAGGTGCCATAAAGGCCTCCAAGCCTTTAAGTTCAAGTGGAGTCAAGCTTTAGAAGGCACAAACATTAACCCATTAAGAAATATATATATATATATATATATATATATATATATATATACCATGAGGAACCGAAGGCGCCACTAACAGGAACACGTGACCTAGCTTATCTCGAGGTCTCGAGGTCCCGAGGAGCCCTTTGGGCCGCAAGGGAACGACGACCAATGGTCTGATCGAAGGGTTCAAAGGGCAGGCCGGAGGGATGAAGGGACCTCAGCCAGAAGGCAACACCAAACACTCCGTCCCGCGCCGACCTTGGCCACGTGCCTCTTTTCCAAGTCGGAGCAAGGCCGGGCCTCCAAATGTTAGTCAGAAAGACCGTGCATTGATTTGGCCCCTGTACTGATCAGGAGCTCACAGTGCCCAACAGGGGGCCCGTGTCGACGAGCCAAAAGCCGGCTATGGACACATTTGCTGAACAGGGACAGGAGCGTGAGCTCGAATGTCGAAGGGCCTCTTGCTTTGGTTAGGACGCTCTTGCCAATGACAGGAGACAGGAGAAATGGTGGCGCAATGCTTATATCTCACACTGAAACAGTGATTTGTATCAGTCAGAGGCCGCGGGACAGAGCGAGGGGCCCTCCACACCATTTCAACCAGGAGGCAGGGACGATAAGCCGGACTGATGTCTCGACGCTTATTAGGCATTGGGCCCCCAGCGCCGGTGAGGAATCCTTTTGCGTCAGTGGCGCGTCCCTGCGTCGGTTCTGTGTCGGATGGCCAGGTGAAAGGGCCTGTCGCATCAGGGATGGGATCGGCGCACGATGAGGACCTGTGAGGGCCCTCTGAGGGCCTCCGGATCGACCAAGGCACCCCAGTTTCCGGATCGCCAGAAGAGCAGTTGCTGGATTCCCTGGGCTGGCACGAAAGGGCCCTTCAGTTCTGACCAGGACAATTCGTCAAGACAATTTCGAGGTCGATTATCAGAACGACATTAGCAGTAGCAGCAGCAGCATACGACCAGCCGAGATTATACCATGGCGACATGAGTCAGTGGTGATATACACGCTAAAACATTATGAAAATACGTAGGCAAATGTGCGCGAAATGCGTACGCATTGCATATAGCGTAATGTGAATGTTACGCATTGCAAGATGCGAGTATTTTGCAAGCTACTACTAAGTTATACCACAACAATCCCAAAGTTCGAATGCAAGACCATTTCACGTGCCGGTGGCGCAGTATACCTAATATCCTTGTTTTTAAATATCTAGAACATGCGCTGCTCAAGCATCGCTTGTCACCTTCCTAAATCAGAATGTAAGAAAATTGTGTACTCCTAGGTACTCAAAACATGCAGCACAAGCTTGAATATCTTCATGTTAACGATACGAAGCATGGTACTCCTATTCCAGGAAGGTAGCCGTATATCTTGCTTCAAGAAAGAACATCGAGTCAAAAGTCCGCGAATTCTAATGAATTCGCCACCTTCTGCTACCACCACCAACAGTTTAATATTCGCGACATGACACATCACTCGAGTGGGCGTTTAGCGGGTTAGGCAATGTGTACAAATGATTGCTTTTGCGATGAACCGTTCAGTGGGGAAAGTGATGCCCGCGATGCCCGTCCTTCCAGCCAGGATAAGAGACGTGCGTCGCCATACAATCTCAAACAGTGGTTGAGCCCCAATGGCGCGTAAACATCCACTGTGAGGTTAGCGACCTACAAAATGCAACTCTTTGCGAGCTCGGTTTAACGTAAATTATTTGGTATCTTGTTATATAAGTGACTTGCCTTTACACACAAATCGTGAGTTCGTACAAAATCTTAAATAATCACTACTTCAAAAGAAATGATAACACATCGGGAGCCAGGTTCCACATTGTAAAGGCCGGACAAAATATAGCCGTGGCCGAGCCTAATACTGGGGGGGGGGGGGGGGGGCAGCGCCGCATTGAGGGGTGGGGGGCAGCTCAACATAGAGGGGACCCAGTCCAACATGGGGGTATGGCCCCCAAAAAGATAAAATTCCACCCTGGATATGATTCATAATATGATCCTCGTTTGTTCTGATGTTGATGCAAAATTCCATTCCCAGCATGCAGCAAACTGTGCTGCGTATCTAAGCGCCCACTGGTTGATGCAAACTGACACTGTTTTTGCAACTGTGATTAATGAATAATTTAAATCAAGGATACTCAGCAGAATGAAATTTGCCACTAAAATGATAAAAGTTTTAATGTGAACGTGTTTTTGGCAAGGATTCATTGCATCATTTTTCTGGTAAGCCAAACCAGATTGGATTGGATTGAGAAATCTGGATACCGAATTGGCCGAGAGGATTGGATCGGGACTAGATGAACCGTACCGTCCTGAAATTCAATCCGCGAAAGTCTGTCTAATGTGTTAAACTCGGTTTATCCGCCGATTTATAGAGGCCACTCCTTGATATTCAAAGCAAGATCTACTGGGTAGAAAGAAACATTGACCTCATTCCCTGGCGTATGATGAACCTCACGCCACGCAAGCACGTGCTTTATTGTTTCACTGGATGGGACGAGTTTGGAAGGTTAATTTATGCAGTCCGGAGTTTCTTGGCGGAACGGTGCTGCTCAGCGCGGAAGCGAGCATCCGAGACCTTCAAAATGTATCTTAACGATGGCCCAGGGAATCGATTCTATTCAACCCCATGGTATTGCAGTCCTGGAAATAGCCCCCAACGGTATCACTATCAGGGCCAGCTCGTCAACAGTAAGACGACACAGTCACTGGCCAGCTCGTCGACAAAAGGACGGACAACCGCCGGCGGCATCTGCCGTATGACGCACAGCCGCCGGCCAGCTCGTCAACAGTTAAGACGGACAAACACCGGCCAGCTCGTCAACAGTAAGACGGACAGCCGCCGGCCATCTCGTTAACAGAAAGGCGGACAGTCACCGGCCAGCTCGTCAACAGTAAGACGGACAGTCGCCGGCCAGCTCGTCAGCCATAAGACGGACAGCTGCTGGCCGGCTCACTCTTCGGATCTCTCCCCTCCCCACACCTGGATGGCTATCTGTGTGTCTGGTCCTGAACTGCCAGGTCTGTAGCAAGAGGCTGCAGAGCCCGGGAGGCATGAATGGGGTCATCGGCCAGGTGGTGCACGGCACGGGTGGAGTCGTCGGCCAGGTGGTGCACGGCACAAGCAGGGGCATTAATGTGGTCATTGGCCAGGTGGTGCACATGATCGCGTCAGGCTGCGCACCAGGGTTTCGGTAAGTTGTCAAGGTGCGCAAAACCTTTGCCTCCTTCATAAAGTTGTCACTTGGATAAAGTGTTCTCTGTGGAGACCCTGTGCGGTGACCGAGTGTGAACGAGGCATGCGACAGCTTTTCATTGTTCGGTAAACCTTTTACATCCATGCATTTGTCAATGCAGACAGTCATTTTATGCTACGAGCAATCCGGACATTTTTTCCTTTCCACCTTGTTTTATGCGTTGAGAGTTCTCATGCGGAGTGAGCGATCATCCATATACCAGGAGATACTGGTTGAATGACATTATAGAACAAGCAGTGGTTATATTGTCAATACTCAGCTACTAATTCTGTACTGAAAGAAAACGATTCAGTATACTTTTGGTATTGTCGATATGACCAATATCTGCTCTATAACGTCGCTTAACCAGTATGTTCTGGTATCTTGAAAATCGATAACTCGGCATGTGAGCCCTAAACTCACAATGTCAGAAAACAAACAGCTGAAGGCCTTCCCTGCTTAAATCAAGTACAATAACCTAATAATGTACAATAACAGTTAACGTCTTCAAGTTTTGAACTGGTCTAAAGAGACCTTTACTGCAGCTATTCTTAAAGTATACATGGTATTCGCCTTTGCTATTTTCTTCGCCGTTCCAATGTTGGTTATGCGCCATCACGCGCCCTCTGACAGCTGTGAGGGCCACGAGCTCGTATCAGCGCCCTGGCGTCCGGTTTAAGTAAGTGCAGCGCCGTGTTCTCAATTTGAGATCTCACAAGCGACTCGCATTCAAATTGGACTCTCCATCGCTCGACGCTTTTACTCTCGGGATCAGATCCTTTTAAGATTGTTTATCGCCACTCTCGATCATCGATCATTTCTAGTTCAGTAGCATTTGGCGCGGAATGTCTTAGCCGCGGCTGCTGTTTGTCGAGGAAATTGCTTTGTTTGCGTCAGTGAGTCCCTTCTACACTAGTTCTCTGCAAATATTACCTAAGAAACCGCGCTGCAGCAAGGTGTCAAAACAACAACTCGTCCTACTCACATCGGATTCACTATTTACCACGGTTCATACAACACATCTATTTCACCGCCAGCCTTGCACTCCTGTTTAATGCCTGGCTGGGGTATGCGTCATTACGTCGCGCCGCCGGGCGCGCGACCTCGATGACACAGCCTGTACGTGAACCGACAGGCACACCACCGACGCTGACAGCGGCCCAGCGTCTCGTCCGTCAGAGCTTGCGTGGCCGCTATGCCACCTGTGTATCACCAATGTATCACCAGTATCACCAGTGTGCCGCCAGTATCACCTGATGCCATCAGACAGAGCCCTTGTCAGCTGATTCAGCACCTTGCGCCTCACATCCACGTCTCGTGGTGGCAGTCCCTCCCCTCCCCCCCCCCCCCCCCACACACCCAGTGCCGATAGCGTGGCGTTGTCGGCCTACGCCATGAGCGGGCGTCGCCACGCAGCCGCGGCTCCGCTGCCTTTCTGACGCTCGCCCCCATTGCGCGAGCGGTCAATTGATCGTCTCACGTGGCGGCACTCGACGGCCGCTCTGGTCCGGACAGCTGGCCGTTATTGGTCGGGCCAACGCACGCTGCGGTGACCTGGACCGCCACCGCTGCCGGATCTCGAGCACCACTTAGTGGCCAGGCGCCGACATTGCGCTGCGAGGAGTTATCCACGCACACTAGCGCTGCGTCTCCCTAAAGCACGTATTTCTCTCTCTCTCTCTCTCTCTCTCTCTCTCTCTCTCTCTCTCTCTCTCTCTCTCTCTCTCTCTCCTCTCTCTCTCTCTCTCTCCCTCTCTCTCTCTCTCTCCTCTCTCTCTCTCTCTCTCTCTCTCTCTCTCTCCTCTCTCTCTCTCTCTCTCTCCTCCTCCTCTCTCTCTCTCCTCTTCTCCTCTCTCTCTCTCTCTCTCTCTCTCTCTCTCTCTCTCTCTCTCTCTTTTCTCTGTCACTTTCCATACTTTCTTTCTTAGGCCTCCACCACACTTTGAGTTCATGGCATTGACTATTTTTATTTATCGACCCACCTCCAAAGTCACGTCCAAAATGTCAGCGCCATTGGCGACCAAGGCCGCAGCAAAAAATATCCACACGGCTGCTCAACAACATCGGTGTAGTGCAATGCTTTGATCTGGGCATTCGGCTTTTCTACTCTACCTCTTCCCAAATGGCTTCAAGCGCGGGTAATGGATGCCATTCGTTCGTGAATAATGTCGTGCTAATGCATTACACTGGTGACATTCCAAAGTTTGAAGAGAGCCCGAAATCACTCTAGAATGACATTACAAAGTGGATGGGACGAGTCCTGACCTTTCTTGACATTTGGCTCGAGTCCGACAGCCTTAAGGGCAACGCAGGCGAATCTTAGCATATCTTCGCCATTTATAGCTCAGACGCACATTATTTTACTCTCTTGAATCTGAGCACCAATGACGCGAAATACATTGGTACTTCAGGACTCAGGTAGCACTGGATGATGTGCGAGCTGCGTTAATTTACATGAAGTCAGGCTAAAATCAGCTAGATGCGCACATCACATTCGAATGAGTCAGTTTCTGGACGCGTTTGAAAAAGACAGCCATGTTATCAATGAAACGCAGCTTTAAACTGCACCGGGACAATGCAGTGTCGTCCTATATTTGGGCACATGCGATCTTCGGACCAGCCTTTGATCGCACCTTTACCTGGCACGCTCGCATAATTCGCTCGCGCTCACTTGCACGGTTTTGACGGTTTCTGAATCATCGAACTACGCGGCAAAAGA